CATGAATGGAACCAGCCATTTTGTTTTTGAACCACAGAAGGAGGGATCTTCGATTGCTGGCACATGCTTGTCTGTGCAACCAGAGAAACAGATATTTTCTCAGTGTTTGGATATCTCCAAAGGATTGATTTTGCCTGCCTGCCTGCCTGCCTGCCTGCCTGCCTGCCTGCCTCTCTCTCTCTCTCTCTCTCTCTCTATGTGTGTGTGTGTGTGTGTGTGTGTATGCAGCTGTATAGGCTGGGGCTTTTTATGAATGATACTCTATAAAGTATCAGAGAGAGAGAGAGAGCCTGACGTACATTGCATAGCAATTGAGGGCTAATGAAGATCCAGGTATTAAATCAATTAAGAAGTATCAAAAGCTACCTAATCATCAAGGAACAAAATTGGCACCACAATATGTAGTGAGTATGGGAAAGCCTAATTTACTAAACATACCCTGCAGTCACATAATTGCATGTAATTTTACCAGCATAATTAACTAATTTAATTACCACTTCTCAAGTGCATCAATTATTGACATTACAGAGTTTTCAGACAGCAGAATTACTGTGTGATACATTCAGAGAATGCAAAATGTTCCCTGTGCTACTTCTCTAGGCAGAGGCAACAACTGGGGTGGGGGGAGGCAACATGCCTTTCATCTCTTCCTACCCTCCCCTAAATCCCACCGAAAAAAAGCCGAATCAAGGGAAGCCAAAGTCTATTTTGCATCTGGCACTGGGATGGGATGGGATTCTCCGTTTGTACAGAGTGGTGGGTGGGATGTTTAGAGTTACAAGCCTACGTGTTATGTGGTATGGTTACGCTACATTGCATCATATATTGGCTGTTTGGTGTAATGGTTAAAGTTGTTCTGCCTTAGGCGCAAAAGTCAACGGGGTGAATGTGGGCCTGTTATTCTCTCTAAACCAGGTTCTTCAACCTTGGCAATTTTAAGTGTTGTGGACTTCAACCCCCAGAATTCCTCAGTCAGCCCTTATTGGCTGAGGAACTCTGGGAATTGAAATCCACAAGTCTGAAAGTTGCCAGGAATGGAGACCCCTGCTCTAAACCCTTGGAAGAAAGCAATGGGCAAACCATTTCTAGAAAAGGTGTCAAGTTACCAGGAATCAAGAGGAAAAACACTTCTCCTCCCCCTCCCAACAGATATAAACAAAGATCCTTTGGATATTTGAAAGTCTTTGGGTTTCTAGATATTCAAAACACTCTGAAATCTATGTGATGGGAAGCTGCCATGTAGATATTTGCAAAGATAAGATGGCAAAGCTCATTGAGTCTTCAAGAAAAATACAGGTTATAGAAAATTAATTTCTTATTCAGTCAATGCTACAGGATCGTTCCCATTGCAGATTTGATCACTACTTTGCAGATAGAAACAAATAGTTTCATAGAAAGAATTGGTACCAGTCTTCTCCAGCCTCACATTCTTTAGATGCGCTTAAACCGGTGGTTCCCAAACTTGCTGGCTGGAGAATTCTGGGAGTTGAAGTCCACAAGTCTTAAAGTTGCCAAGTTTGGAAACCACTGGCTTAAACGAACTACATTTCCCAGCATTCCCAACCATTGTGACCTTGTGCACCAAATCCGGGGAAGATTTTTTTATAGCAGAATCCAATTAATTATTAGCCATTCTTTCATTCTTTTGCATTCTAGAAAGTTATGACAAAGTTCCAGTGCAAAAATCCAAATCTAATAGTGAAATTGTATTCCATCGAAACTTTATTCAGAACTACAAGTCAAGTTTTTGTGATTGTGTTTTCTGCAACCAACATATAATATATATATTTTTTAAAAACAACCCCCACACTTTCCCTAGTCTACACAACAGGGTATCCTCACAATGATATTATGGAGAACAACTCCTTTTCCTGCTACAGAATTCATGAAGATTGAAGGGATGTTTCTTCCTTGGCAAAATAGGCAAGGAAGTGTTGGACTTATCCTGCAACAAATCCAAGCAACTATCTGAACTAGGTTCTTTCTTATGATTTAGTGCAGAAAATCACATTTTAAACTGAAGCAGGTCAGTGTGTAGACAAGGCTATGGTTTTCCCAGTTGCAATGTATGGCTGTGAAAGTTGGACCATAAGAAAGGCTGAACACCAAAGAATTGAGGCCTTTGAACTATGGTGCTAGAGAAGACTCGTGCGAGTCCCTTGGATTGCAAGACGATCAAACCGGTCAGTCCTAGAAAAGATCAACCGTGACTTTATCTGTAAATGTGTTTTTATTTTCCATTTTCATTTCGTACAGTCACATATATACTGTGCATAACCGNCAGGCCGCACTCTCAATCCCCTCATACATACTGGCCAGACTTTCTCCACATGCATACCCCACTAATATTAAAATATACAATAATACCATAAATAAAAAATGAATTAATTTAAATTAAAAGCATGTGGGAACACTCTCTCACCCATTCATACATACATTCACTCCTTCACTCAGCAGACAAGGTAGATGCAGTTCTTGAACCGCAAAAGCGGTTGGCGCAGATTTAAAATGGATAGAGTTGGTAATAATTTGAGAGAGGGGGGCTTTGTGCTCTTAATCTTCTCCCCTGCGGAATCCAGAAGAGAGGACAAGGTCTGAAAGTTTGAGGTGGCTGAGGGGATTGACGCCAGTTGGAGGGGGGGCAGGCTCCTTGTCCACATCCTCCTCGTCCCCCACCTTCTCTTTCTGCGAAGATTGTATAACACAGACAAGAACGTAGGACTCTCGGCGTGGCCAGAGGTCTCCATGGCCACAGCAACAGCAGCCGGAATGGCGAGAGGGAAAAGCCCTCGTGTCAGCGTTGTTCAGGATTGAAACAAGAAAACAGAGAAGGGGAAGAGGGAGGGAGGGGTCGTGCCAGGAACCAAAATGGTGGTCAAGAAAATTTGTTCACCACATTTCTCAGCCAGTTTTCTGCTAATGCACCAGAGTGGAGAGGTGGCTTCCCAAGGTCCCTTCCAACTCTTATTTGATTCTGTTCTGTTCTGTTGGGAAAACTCAAAGTGGAGGAAGTCCACTCCAGATCTAAGTAGATTGTTCTCCTACTTAATAGCTTTAATCATCAGGAAATTCTGCTTATATTTAGCCTTTTCATATCAATAATTTGGTTCCTACCCTACCTTTAGTTTCAACATAAGAGTCATCACCTCTTGCATTGATACTCTTTTAAGTATTTGTAGATTGCTATTATGTCCTCTCTTTTTTTAGTATCTGAAATGCACATGCACGTATGGGCAGTATTTCTCAACAAGCAAAATATTTTGAATGGAACAGTATTGACTATCCAATATTGCTCTGAATTGGTTGAGCCAGTGTGTCTGCTACTGCAATGGAATCACATGATCACATTATTAAGGAGTTGCTATTTTCTAGAAAAACTTACTTTCAAATAATTTTGGAAAGCTGCTGTGCAGAGAACAGATTTCAAAAATAATATTTAAAGTAGTAAATAGATCATTTGATTTATTAACAGTATTTTACAATGCACTCTTCGATAGCATAGTTTAGAGAGGGCTGCAAAGCACTATGAAATGGTATTGCTATTGTGTACTTATATTCTTTATCTAATTCATCCTCATGATCACTTTGTGATAGGGGTCGATTCCTTTTGCATGTGGGAAAAGAAAGATAATGGCTCACCCAGAAAGTCCTTTAAGTTCCCCAGTGAGAACTACTAAAAAGGGTTTTCCTCTGCATTTTCTGCAGTTTTTTATTTTATGGCAAGGTACTGCTGAACCCTACATGGTGTCTGCCTCCATCTCCATGGCAATACACAGATGCACTTTCAAGCGTCTCTTGTGTTCAGAATAGCTGTTCACAAATCACAACAGGATGTCTATAAATGCAAGTTAAAAGGACGTTTTGTGTGTAATGGTTGAATACTGAAATGTGTTTCTTTTCAGAATAAATGGAAGAACCTTAGGACCCTAAAAGCCACTTGTTAGTGTGCACTAATAACAAAATTGTCACTGAAGCAGGATATGACATGCACTAAAAACTTTCTTTCAGGAACAAGGATTCAATCCTTTAATGAACAAAATACTTTTTAAATTTTGTTATGTTGTTCTATTAATTGTGATTTTTTTAAAAATACCCAGGGCTGTGCTGTTATTTTTGTTTTGTTTTATGGCAGAGACAAGTATACGCAGAAAAAGGTAAAGCAACAATGTCTAATTGCTTGGGTATTTAAATCAATTTTGGCAATTTCACAATATTATTAGGTCTATTGCAGCAATCTGAAATCTATTCTCTCTGCAAGTGCTGGGAGCTGCATTTTAATGGTAATAGCCAGATTAAGGTAGGAGAAAGAGAGCCTCTAGGAAAAGAGGAGCAGGATCTCCTAAATTCTTCTCCTCAGGAAGAATGAAGCAGAAAGAGAACTGCACTTCTGGATTGTTGCTAAAGAGAAACTATGTTAGTTCCTAATTTATTCAAAAGTTTAGATTAACTTTTAAATAATATATCATAATTTTAAATATATATTTTATCAATGAACTGATGTTTTCTATCTGCATCAATATAATTTAAAATGACACACAAACATTAAAAATACTGGCTACTTACTCATTATCTCCAACTGTTTCCATCAGTTGTCACTTTATTGCCCTCTCACATTGTGTGCCACTGAATTGCTATTGGACTATTTTGGAATAAATGTCCTCCCTCCCATCAATTCTCCCCTTTTAAAACATTTTATGCCCTGTAAATCTTGATAATATCCACTATTTTGCATACAATGGAAGAAAAAGTGTCTACAAATATGGTGGATATTGATGATTCAAAGTACATGATATGATATTTTTGGGAGCAAAACATTTTATAAAGCTGATGCATTCAGCTTCTAAGGCTATCAATTCAAAACAACTCTTACACAATCACTAAACATTTGGGAATAGATTTATTTTTGTATTCTTTGTTATATCAAAAGTTTGGTTTATAGTAATAACCAGTGGGAAGTGCAAATACTGTCTGGCTCCAAATGACTAAAATAAAAGATTTACCTCATAGGAATCCTTATTTGATTTGTATTTTTCTAACCGACACAATTGGTTAGTGCACATATTATCAGAAGTTTCAGTTTTCTAGAAAGATGGAAAAAGAAGACAAATCTGAACTGTAAATTAAGATATAACTTTAGGAAAGATATACTTAAATGTTTAATATGTATTACTTTCATTCTATGAATCACTTTGTTAAATTAGCAAAATTAGTTAAAAACAAATATTGTTTTTTTTTAATTTAGAAATTGCTACAAGTCAATAACTAAATATATTATATTACCAAATATATTAATTACTAATTATTAGTAATATATAACTATATATTACTATATAGTAATTATATTACTAAGTGTATTACTATATAATATATATTACTATATATTAAATATTTTACTATATGAGTTGACACATAATATTTATTACTTTCCCATTCCTATAAACTAGACAATGCAATTAAACTGGAAAGCAAGTACAACATAGCACTTCAAAAACTTAGTTCAGACAATTTTTTTCATATTTAAATTAAAAAGCCTCAAAATTTTCCCAACATGATTAATGGGAACTATCCCAAGGGCAGAGAGGTTATAATAAATTTCCTTATTAATGCTCTCATTTCTCACATTTCACAAAAAGAATCATCATGTGAACCCAAAGGACAGGCTAATGATGAAATGCACAAATTAATATTTATTTAACTTCAAAGAAGCAATGGTGGAATTTTAGATTTTGTAGAGAAAGGAAAAAATAAAAAAAGTTTAAATTATTCAAAGCAGCAGAATTGAACATTTTAAAAACATGTCGAAGGACAACTTATAGTTCTTTGTTTAGTTTTGACTGCATCAGAATTATTGTGGTTTCCAATAACATGGCCAGCAGCTGAATGATTCACCCAGATTGCAGTGTGCAAGTCTGTGATATGCTATGCAATTTTCTATGTTCTTATCAAAATAGGTTCACTAAGCTCATGAAGTTCATGATGTACCATATGTTGAAGATAAGATGTTCTTCACTTTACGCCAGTTTTTGAGACATAAAATTTATTTCAGGAATTAGTGAGCATAGTTTGGCATGAAGTTAATACAGAACAAAAGGGACATTTCTAAGGATTTCCTTCGGAAGAAAAAAAAACTGTCAAAAATAAATATAATAAATCAAAAGCCAATTCAAAGGCCAAGAAGTTGGCAGTATTTCTCCAACTAAATGATTAGATGAGGTTTTTAATCATTTTTGGTGGACTAAAAAGGTATATCCCATTATTAAAAAAAACATTCACTGCAAAATGTGAATGACTTGTATTTTTTTAAAAAAAGAACTTGGCTCATGTAATATGTATTATATTGGAGAAAATCTTTATCATTGCTAAGCAATAACACCCACTTAAGAGCACATAATCAATCACATAGTAAGATATCCGCTCTAACACAGAGACATCATTTAAGAAAAAATATTGATACTGTTATTGATTTATTGCAATGGACATGTATTCAAATGTAAGATATACAATGGATTGATTTTATTTTGTAGGACAATAGCCCTGAAAGATAAGTACTATTCCTTTGAATACTAAAATAAAATTAAGAGTTATAACTGAAATAAAAGCAAATGACAGTGGGAATTTGCACCCATGGCAGGATTTATTTAACTATTTATTTTTATCAATGATGATAGTAATAATAAACCCAAGGATTACAATGGCACATTGTCAGAGAAATAAACATGAAAAGAGAAGCAGAAAAGGAAGAAGAATTGGTCTGAAATATCCTAGAAGAGATCAAGCCTGAAAGCATTTGACATAGATGTACTGATATCCTGCAAAATGCTGCAAGGAAAATTCCAGCTACTGCAATTGCAACAGTAAATCGTGTTTGTCATACTATGGAATTTCCCCAAAAATTGCACAGAAATGGAATGTAAAGAATGGAACAGATACTGTACTTGTACTGGTGATACTGGAGGGCAAATAAAAAAGATTTGTTGCATGAGGTCAGAGGTAAGAATTGTTTGTTTAAATGGATTAGACTATGGATAGCAAGGGCAAGCATCAGTCATGAACTGATCTATGATTATTATTTTACTTTCTTTTTTTGGTTTTTATTTTATTTTATTTTTAAAAAAAATGCAAAACTCCCAAAATTAAAAAACAAACAAGACATTTAAAAAGTACATTAAAAAATACACACACAAACACATATAAAAATATCATTCCCCTAGTTGAATACTGTCTAATATATTACTACAATATTAGTTTCCCATCCCTTTGTGAAATTGGCTCAAAACATTTTTAAATTACTAAATCTATTTGCAAATTATTAACAGAAATTATGGACATTAAGTCGAGGACTAACTGTAAACTATACAATACACACTCTATGTGAGTGTAAAAAGCACTAAACTCATATTTGACTCCAAATAAATCACACCCAAGAACTCTTTATAGGAGCCTGGGGAGGGTGGAAAAGGCTTTCCTCATCCCCCTGGGAGGCCCTCCAGATGCTGAAAATGGTCTGTTTGCTGACTTCTGGGCAGACCAGAAGGCCCGTTTTTCACTCCCCCTGGGCTCCAGAGGCTTTCTAGGAGCCTGGGAGGGTGAAAACGGCCTTTCCCACCTCCCCAGAGGCCCTCTGGAGGCTGGAAACGGTCCATTTAATGGGAAGCCTCCTGAAACCTCCAGAGAGCGAAAAATGGCCTAACGCACAAACTGGAAGTTCAAGAATGGACTTCCGGTTTGTGAGTTGGGAAGTTTTTCGCTCTCTAGAGACTTCAGGGAAGCCTCCAGAAGGCGAAAAACAGCTGAAAATCAGCTGGCAGAGGTGACGGGGCAACACCTCGCGTGCCCTCAGAAATGGCTCCGCATGCCACCTGTGGCATACGTGCCATAGATTCACCATCACAGACTTAAGTCATTTCTAGACAAATCAATAATTACATTAAAATAAACAGAATTTCAAAAGAAACACATTTAGGATTGTACAAAATTTGTTTTTAAGAAAATTTATTAAAATTATGGACAGCAATACTGTTCTTCTAAATTTTTTGTATTACATAATTAAATTATTTTTGGTTCCAAAATCACAAAAAGCATTGTATACTGAGAAAAAATATCTGTGTTTTTCACAATCTAATAAGTTATTGATTAATTCATTGTGCTGCTCAAACCTATTTATTTTCTAACTGGATTAAATTGTTTGAAAATATACATGTAATAAGCAGGTAGAATCAAAGTGGTTCTATTTCCGTTAAAGTTTACCCTGGTAGACTACAACTTCACTTTTCCCTGCAACTTGAAAAAAACAAACTATTCCTTGCTAAGGTAAATTTCTTTGTTATAATAAGGAACAATGAAATGTTGGCAGAGTGAGACAGACCTGTGGAAAAAGGCTTTTATGTATAGAGAAAGCTTTCACAAGAGGCTTTGAAAGTAGTTTTTGCCCAAGGATATTCTTAATTATTCAAATCAGCTAGGCTTATCTCTACCCCCAGATATTCAATTCCCTAATTTTCCTTCCAAGAGATGCTCAGCAATCTATGATCAGTGAAAATGTCTGTTCCCTTAAAGTTTTTCATATTTTGAGATGGTTCATGTTTTTCCCGTCTATTTTTGCAAAGTTGAAGAATTTCCCCATGCATACTGTACTTATTTCTTAGTATCTCCATTTGTGGTTACTGTTAGTCTACTAAACTTTCTTAGGTTCAGCAATTATCCAAAATTATACTTACTTTTACACCTGCCGTATAGCGTTCTAGCTTCTTATTAAGAAGGATGTAGATGGCGAGCATGTGGCAAGCTCTGTTTGAAAGGATAGTGTTGATCACATCACTATTCTTATAGCCAAGCTTTTCTGTCATGTACAGCAGCACGCTTTGACTTATGTCTTGTAGATGAATTCTGCAAAAAATATTAATTATAACTTATAATCGGTAATTTAATGGTCATTTGAAATTATGGTGGATCTCCCAAAAGCTACTTATAACCTGGTCCTGGCCTGGTATGGCCACTACAGTCCCCATGTTCATTCATCCACAGGACATTGCGGTGCTTCCACCTATCTTCCTCTCTCCCCATTGGATCCCTGCAAGCATTTCCCTCTTCCACTGCTTCCTGCTGGCCTTATCCTCCTGCACATGGCCATGAGATAATGCAATCTGTTCCTACACCCTGGAAGGCCTTAGAACTTTTCAAACGAGGAGGAGGGTATTTGGCCTGGTGGGGTGGGAATCAGATCTAAGGTTTGGGGAAACCTATTGGCAGTAGGGAAAGGCCTGTGAGGATCCAAGGGGCAGGAAGGAGAAGATATGCAGGCCTGGGTGTGTGTTAGGTCTCCACAGGCCTCCCCCACTCCTGAGGTACCCCATGTTCCATTTAACAACCTGAACATTTGTTTAACATTCACTGGGAATATTAAGGATGATGGGATTGTTAAGTAAAATGCTTCTCTCAACAGCAATTGTAAAAGGCAACTGTAATGGGCAGGGTTCATTATGGTTGTATTTCAAGGACTAGCTGTTGGTTATCTCCAAGGTTCTCAGGAGAAAGATGGCAATCCTAAAGGCATTATTGAAAATCACCATGTTAGTTAATATGACTAAAAGATTTAATTGAGCGATTACTGTGTTCAAGCTATGTTGAAAAGAGCAAGCTAATATGTTTTTAAAGAAAAATGTATACTTGAAATGTATCAATATGGTAGATTAGTCACAACCCAGTTTGGGGAGGGCTGTCCACATTTCAAAAGAATCATTATTTACTTAGTGGGGAAATGGACCATTAATCATACAGTTCTCCTCATTTTTGAAGAAACATTGACTGATTGACGTTGGAACTATTAAGCGTGTATATAATTTCCACTTCTATTGTAGAATTTTATGTGTACATGTTTCTGTGTTTTTTACTAAAGAATGGTGAAATAAAGTCAATGGGCACAGTCTTGGTCTCTACCTTAAGAAACACTTAAATAATAAAGAAGAGTAGTTAATTGCATAACAGAAAATGGAACAATTAATTAAACGGTCTTCTAAAACCTGGTGTCTTCTAGATATGGACTGACATTCCCTGAACTCCTAGTTAGCATTACCATCTGTCTAGGAATTCTTGAACTGCTAGTCCAGAGAGTACCCTTTGTGAAAGGCTAGAACAGAGATTCAGCTATACAGATAGTTGTAAACCAGGGGTGTCAAACTCAAGGCCCGGGAGCTGAATCCGGCCCATGGGGTACTTAGATCTGGCCCGCGGGACCTCTGTCAGCTTTGGAAACAGTAAATGACCATCCTATGGTGCCTCTGCCAGCAAAAACACAGCTCATGATGCCTGCACGTGGCCCTCCCATGCTCTGTTTTCACGGGAAGAGGGTTGCAGCATGCCATTCACTGGTGGGTTTCAAAAAATTTTCGAACCTACTCTGTGGGTGTGGCCTCCTTTGTGGGAGCGGCTTGCTGGCCATGTGTTTCCTTCCTTCCTTCCTTCCTTCCTTTCTCTTTCCTTCCTTTTGTCTCTCTGTCCCTTTTTCCTTTTTTTCTTTCATCTCTCACTTTTTCTTTCTTTTTTCTTTTTTTCTTTATTTATTTCTTCCTTTCTTTCTCTCTCTCTCTCTCTGTGTGTGTGTGTGTGTGTGTGTGTGTGTGTGTGTGTGTGTGTGAGACAGTGGTGGGTTTCAAAATTTTTTGGAACCTCTTCTGTAGGTGTGGCCTGCTTTCCGAGTCCACTGGTGGAACCTCTTCTAACCGGTTCGGTAGATTTAATGAACCGGTTCTATTGAACTGGTAGGAACCCACCTCTGATGCCATCACAACTGAAAACGGAGCTCAGGAGCCCATTTTCACTGGCAGAGCACTCAGGCTACCACAGGCAACCCAATATGAGTGGTGTCAAGCTGGCCCCACTGGCGTCAAACACAACCCTGATGTGGCCCTCAATGAAATCGAGTTTGACATCCCTATTGTAAACGAATACAATAAAACTCTTAAAACAGAGCCTTCAAAATATTGTCATATGCACATTCAATTAAGAAGTTTTCAATTCATTCAGATCATCATTCAGTGCCAGGTTCTTAAAAGTGTCCAGTTTCTGTTTCAGATTATTTTTGCAACTTTATTCTCAATAGATAATAGACAAGTTGCATGTGACTTCTATATAAATATATTCAAAGCAACCCCAACTAAGATGAATTATTTTTTAAAAACTTCAATATGAATAACAATTCAGTGGCAAAAAATTAAGAACTTCCTAAATTCTCCAATTAAAATTAAGCAAATTAAAAGTGCTTGACTTTTAATCAAGGACTAATCAAGGGCTAAAAGTGTAAATTCTGATTACAAAAGATTTCTCATTTTATTACTACTAATTCCAATTATGCAGATATTGATAAACAATGTTCATTGTCATTGCAACATGTCTGCATTTTATTTTGTCGTAAAAATAAAAGCAATTGTTTTTTTGAAACATACAACTAAAGATCAGTAATTATTTATTTTCAGAAGTGTGCTTATGATAATGTCTTATAAAAAGCTACGTGAAATTTGTTATGAAAAAAATAAATGCCACTGTATTTTCTCTGTACTGATTTAAATTATTAGCAAAACTAATAAAGTTCCCCAAGCGGTAATTTACATTGGATTTATGCTTTGTTTTCTGCCAGTGACAGTATCCAATGTGGCTATAAAAAAAAGATAATTGAAATCACAAACAAATATAATTAAATATAAGTTAAAACTGATAGCATCTACCTAGACTCAGGTGAAAAGCCTGCTTAATTAAGGAAAAACATTCCAATATTTTCTCTGTGGCAGGGATTTCCAAAGCCTGCAAAGAACCACTGTTCTGTTTTTCATAATCTCACCAAATCTGTTCTCGATGTTGGCCAAATTAAAAACAAGGTTGCTGTTATAAGGGTCAATGTAATTGTTACATAGCCTGATGCCAAGCTATATAGGGTTGACAGTACTTTAAATTATAAACAGAATCAGATTCATAGATATTAACAAGAGAGGCCACTTGCTCACTATAACTATGCGCTGCCAACCTTCTGGATGAGGCGTCTGAATTAACAAATATTCCAAACATTTTTCAAATCTTCACATAAAGAATGTTACATTAGTCCAAAGAGGAGCCAACCACCACATTTGCTTAATGACTGCTGCAAAACACTGTGGTAAAATCTGGTCAGTCATGTAATGACCCACTTAACAACTGGCTTGACTTATGACCACAATTCCGGGCTCAAATACAATCATAAATTGAGGACTACCTGTACATATTACAGCATGTTCCTCCCCCCACACACACAAAGGAATACTGAAAAGTAACTGGAAATTATCTCTTGTAGGATTCAAAGAACTTTATTTTATAAAAGCAAGTTGTCATTGCTGCTTCTTTTAGATATGCAGAATAAAACTTTATTAGAAATGGCAGGTTTCACAAATTCAACACTTCCCCACATCCTAAGGTTCTACAGAGTGAAAAAATACCAGCAAAAGTAGCACATTTGATATTACGTTAACTATATTTACTTCTGAGTAAGCATTTATATACTGTAATTATAGTGTTGGTCTGATAGGGCCCATTCTGTTTTATATCCAATAAATGGACAGTTTTACAGTATAACTTATCCAGCTCACAGATTCTGCCTGCAATTATGAAACACCCTTCCATCAGAGATTACCTGCCATTTACACCAGTGGTGGGATTCAAAATTTTTACTACCAGCTCTGTGGGTGTGGCTTGGTGGGCATGGCATGACTTGGTGGGCGTGGCTTGGTGGGCATGGCAGGGGAAGGATACTGTAAAATCTCCATTCCCTCCCCACTCCAAGATCCCCATTTCCTCCTGCAAGATCCCCATTCCCTCCTGATCAGCTGGGACTCGGGAGGCAGAAAATAGATGGGGGCAGGGCCAGTCAGAGGTTGTATTTATCTCTGAACTAGTCAAAATCTCTGCTAGCGGTTCTCCAGAACTGGTCAGAAACCTCTGATTTACACTGACTCATCAATTTCAATTTAAAATCTAGTTAGACAAACTTTTAGATTTTACTGCGCCCCAGGTTGTGTTTCAGAATTTTATTTTGTTTCGCTTTATTGTTTCCATGGCTGCTACTGTATGTTTGATTTGAATAAAAAAAGCTTAAATTATTTTTAAAAATGCAATTTAATCATAATTCTCAGAACCAATTCCCATGTATGACTTCATAAAATGTGACTTTGATGCTTTAGAGATCTGGTAGCAAAACAGTAATGCTCGGATAATGATTGATCTCATTTTCTGTCATACAAATCAGTCATTTTTTCTTGCAGTTCATTTACTGTAGTATATTTTGTTCATTCTTGCTGCCTAGCAGCAGCCAGGCAGCCGAACATAAATGTAATGTTTGTATCCATCATATAAAAGCTAAACTAGATGTTTAGAAAGGTACCAGCCTCCCTGCTGTATTAATATCCACCCATGTGTTACATAACCGTCATTACCATAGTAACTAGCATTTCACAACTATTAAGGGTTTTTATCCTAAAAAAACCCTCTTTATTTAGGTTGGGAAGGCTTTACTTCCACAGCAAGCTGTGAAAAAGCAATATGGCAAGCCAAAGGATCCATCAGTGCTTTTGGAATTAATTAGAGCAATCCTAAATCAGAACACAGAATAATCATCATTGCGCCATACTTTGTCCTCTTCCTAAGGAACCCATGAAGACTGAGCAGAATGAAACCCAATAGTAGGAAGCAGCAAAGCAGTCAAGTTGAAGGAGAGTGAAGAAACTGAGAAATATCCAGGTCAAATCTCCCTGAAGTTATCAACCCAGAAGATTGTCTAAACAAGGAATTATGCTCTCTACATTTACATTTTTTCCTTTAAATACTGAGATAATAGTAGGAGAGCATTTTGATTACTTGAGCAACTTAGCTGAAAAATGTATTATTTTGTAACTTTGTTCTTTACTACAATGATTTTTCCCCAGATAATTTTCAAGCTTAGAAATACCAAAGGAATTAAGAAGTGAGTGCAGAAGCATATGGTTATCATGAGGTCTTAAACCACTCCTGAATTGTTGCAGAGAAATTAAGAAAGAAACTCAACCTCCAATCCAGCTTTCTGATCAGAGGAACCTCAATGTCTTCAGTGGAATTTTATCATCTTGGCAGAATACCCAGCATATTCTGTCTTTTGTGCATTACCTGTTTGGATACGTGACATTATTCAGTGGTCTCCCATTCTCACTAAGCCAACGATTTGCTAATGCTTGTTGGATGTTTGGTCTCTTTGCAGGATCTGGTTCTAGCAGAATTTTTAAGAAGTTTACAGCTGCTGCAAAGACATTGGGGGAAAAAGGGAGAGGGAAGTGTTATTTTCTTTGCAACTATATTTATTCTTTTGAAGCCAAATAAGGTATTACGGTATGTTAAAATTATAGTTTTTTTCTCAACATCTGAAATGCAATATACTCGCTGCATTTGCACATTGCTTTTATATATTTAGAAGAGTAAGCTGGTAAACTAAGGAAATCCCTTATGGTATACAGTAGTGAAAAAGATAACTTTAGTAGTTAAGAAAATAACCCCTCCCCAAATAAGATAGATAATTCAATCTTTATAAACAGTTGTATTTTAAATAAGTTTTGAGTAGCTTTGAATTATAAATTGAAATGTCTATAATCCAGACTGCATTACACAATGATTACTTTTATTCACGTTTTCTTGAATATTTCAAAGTGGCTAAATTTACACCCAATTTTAATTCATGGTTTATAAAAGATGGCACCAGATTGACTGAATACATCAAAGCAAAATCAAACCAATNGCTTTCAGCCACCGAGAGTCTGGTCTTGTTATTAAAAGACATTCCATTTTACGCTTGTCTCAGCTTTCGTTACTGGATGGAGGAGGGGGTCAGAACAGGTGGATATGGGAAATGGATATATTAGGGGTATCTTTTATAGAATCCACTGATATACCTACTAGGGTGCAATAGATTAGTTGGTAGTATTAGATTTTAAACCTGATAAGGTGAGGAAAAAGGAACAGCACCATTTCAGGATTGGAATATCATCCACTGTGAAGGTTCACCCCAACTTCATAATCACCAACGTCAGTGATTTTTTTTTTTTTAATGGTAGCTTGGATTTAGAAGTTCTGATTCTGCTGCTGCATTAATTCCTACAAACGAATGGCAAGGAATTACTGTTGCTGGGCAGAACAGAATAGCTCTGAACGCTCATCCAGGGACAGTGATGTAATTAGGGATAATAATAGAAACAAGAATAAAAATCAAAATAACGTCAATGACACCAGCCCACAAGGTCTAATGACAGAAGTATAGGAAGTGAATCCAGCTACCTCCTTATATCATAAAAATATATTTGTCATTTAAAACTAGGCTTTACAAAATTACAACTAGACTGAAGGTCTTCTTCCAGGATTTATTCATCGTGGCAATTTATGAATAGGAGTGTGGCAGTGGTGGGTTGCCAATTTTTTTTATTACTGGTTCGGGCGTGCTCCCTCATGCACTTCTGCGCACGGGCGACCCTTCTGCAGAAGCATCTGGGTGGGTGGACGGAGCCACCCACTGCCACACACTTCCAATCCGGGCTGAACTGGGAGCAACCCACCTCTGGAGTGCGGCAAAAAAATATCAATAACCCTGAAATGTGCCTCTTCATCTTTCTCAGATGGCAGGAAAAATAGAGAGACAATAATCTTGATCCCTCCTGAGCCCTCAGCCCAAATAGGAAGACAAAGCAGTATTATTTAAATAGGAATAGTTCTAGAATTCGCAACTCAAAGTTCTGGAATACCACATGTAAATGTAACACACATACAGGCACACACACACATCCATTTTTGCATCCTAGCAACCGCCTAGACACTCCCTGTAGTTTCTTGGCAAGATTTTTAAAAGTGATTTGCCATTGGCTGCCCCCTTCCAAGGGTTAAAAGGAAGGATTAGCTCAAGGTCATTCAGCTAACTGTGTCTAAGGCAGAACTAGAATTCCTTGCCTTCCAGTTTCTAGCCTGATGCCTTAACCCCATGATGGTGAACCTATGGCCCTCTCTGCAGCACCCGAGCCATCACCCCACTTCAGCTGCACCATGCAGGTGCGTGCGTCTCCCGCCAGCCAGCTGGTCTCCCGGTCTGTGATGCACATGCGTAGGGAGTGGAGCACGTGTGGGAGGTGCGTGTGCATCAGAGGTGGGTTCCTACCAGTTTGCACCTATTCGGTAGAACCGGTTCGTCAAATCCACTGAACCAGTTAGAAGAGGTTCCACCAGTGGCCCCGGAA